CCCCTATGTACTGAACCTGACCCTTGCTGCTATCAACTCGGCCTGGCAGAAGGGTTACACTTGTAACTATTCTCTGTACAATCTCCAACTTTTCAACACACTTTTTGAAATGTAGACATCAGAACTGACACAGTATCCCAGCAGTGGTTTCACTTGTGCCAGATACTGAGGTAATACAATCTCCCTGCTCGCTATATCCTTGTTTATGCATCCATGAAAAGTATGAACCTTTTTGGCCATAGCATCACACACTGGGATGTTTTGTGATTATTGGACCCTACAAAGTTACCCTAAATTCAACTGTAAAAAGTATGTGAAAGTTCATAAGATGTTACTATAACCATAAAAAATAGGTCAAGTTGTTTTTGATGATGAATGTTATAATAGTTGAAAGAAAACCAGACAGAGAAACTATATTAGTCTAAACAACCAGGACCTACTGACATAATTCAAGGACTATGTGAGATCATACTTGGTAAACAAGCAAATGTGGGAAAAAAAGTTACTTATGCCAAATTTGGCCTTATGGAAATGGATTTAATTGGTACAAAATAATGAGGATAAAATATGTTGTCCACTTTTACCCTTTTGGGGGCTCTTATAAAGAGACTGGAAAAAAAAGGATCATCTTCCTCCAGCTCATATCCCAGCCTGGCAGCACTGCATCTCATTGCAGCTTCCTTGCCCTCAAGACTGATGGAGCAGACCAAGCTAAGGACTTTCTTCACAAGAGGAAGGCCAGCTGGCTTTGCTCTTGCGTAAGGAACTTTGTATTCACCTGTCAGTTCTGAAAGTCATCAAATTACCATGACATCCGGTCCTCAGTCCTTCAGTGGGGACCACTAATTCCCTACACCGCAGAGGCACTTAAAATCCTGTATTGTTTTCCCTTCTCTTGTTGCGTTGCTTTATGCCCTCCCCCACTTGCCTCTGATCATCTCTTTCACTCTCTTCGTTTTTCATTGAATCCCAAAATCGACTATAGTGCATTCATCCAAACCTGCTTTGTCTAAGAAGAAAGGATCCAAACAGACGATGTCCCTGACAAAAAGAATGATCCAGGATCCAAGCAGCAGGTGTCATGGTTGACCTGCCAGCCAAAGCATCTATTTGTGACTGTCCAGCCATCCAGTGTTCCAGAGACAACAAAAATCATATTTCCCCCACGTTTTCTATCCTCTCTCTCCCCTACCTTGTATCTGTCTATTAGAAATAGAGAAGTAAATACCCTTTGCACACCAGGACTGAATGTAAAATTAATCCTTTCCTTTTCATCAAGGTAGCTCTGAAAATAAGAGACTAATGTCTACACTATGAAATTAGGTCGAATTTATAGAAGTCGGTTTTTTAGAAATCGGTTTTATATATTCGAGTGTGTGTGTCCCCACAGAAAATGCTCTAAGTGCATTAAGTGCATTAACTCGGCGGAGCGCTTCCACAGTACCGAGGCAAGTGTCGACTTCCGGAGCGTTGCACTGTGGGTAGCTATCCCACAGTTCCCGCAGTCTCCGCTGCCCATTGGAATTCTGGGTTGAGATCCCAATGCCTGATGGGGCTAAAACATTGTCGCGGGTGGTTCTGGGTACATATCGTCAGCCCCCCGTTCCCTCCCTCCCCCCGTGAAAGCAAGGGCAGACAATCATTTCGCGCCTTTTTTCCTGAGTTACCTGTGCAGACGCCATACCACGGCAAGCATGGAGCCCGCTCAGGTAACCGTCACCCTATGTCTCCTGGGTGCTGGCAGACGCGGTACGGCATTGCTACACAGTAGCAGCAACCCCTTGCCTTGTGGCAGCAGACGGTACAGTACGACTGGTAGCCGTCATCGTCATGTCTGAGGTGCTCCTGGTCGCCTCTGTGAGGTCGATCAGGAGCGCCTGGGCAGACATGGGCACAGGGACTAAATTTGGAGTGACTTGACCAGGTCATTCTCTTTAGTCCTGCAGTCAGTCCTATTGAACCGTCTTATGGTGAGCGGGCAGGCGATACAGACTGCTAGCAGTCGTACTGTACCATCTTCTGCCGAGCAGCCATGAGATGTGGATGGCATGCAGTCCTTCTGCACCGTCTGCTGCCAGCCAAAGATGTAAAAGATAGATGGAGTGGATCAAAACAAGAAATAGACCAGATTTGTTTTGTACTCATTTGCTTCCCCCCCTCCCCTGTCTAGGGGACTCATTCTTCTAGATCACACTGCAGTCACTTACAGAGAAGGTGCAGCGAGGTAAATCTAGCCATGTATCAATCAGAGGCCAGGCTAACCTTCTTGTTCCAATAAGGACAATAACTTAGGTGCACCATTTCTTATTGGAACCCTCCGTGAAGTCCTGCCTGAAATACTCCTTGATGTAAAGCCACCCCCTTTGTTGATTTTAGCTCCCTGAAGCCAACCCTGTAAGCGCCCCTCCCAGCGTCAGAGCAATGGCAAACAATCGGGCATCTGAGAGTGCTGTCCAGAGCAGTCACAATGGAGCACTCTGATGGGGCTAAAACATTGTCGCGGGTGGTTCTGGGTACGTGTCGTCAGGCCCCCGTTCCCTCCCTCCCTCCGTGAAAGCAAGGGCAGACAATCATTTTGCGCCTTTTTTCCTGAGTTACCTGTGCAGACGCCATACCACAGCAAGCATGGAGCCCGCTCAGGTAACCGTCACCCTATGTCTCCTGGGTGCTGGCAGACGCGGTACGGCTTTGCTGCACAGTAGCAGCAACCCATTGCCTTCTGGCAGCAGACGGTGCAATACGATTGGTAGTCGTCCTCGTCGTGTCCGAGGTGCTCCTGGCCATGTCGGCTGGGAGCGCCTGGGCAGACATGGGCGCAGGGACTAAATTTGGAGTGACTTGACCAGGTCATTCTCTTTAGTCCTGCAGTCAGTCCTATTGAACCGTCTTATGGTGAGCGGGCAGGCGATACGGACTGCTAGCAGTCGTACTGTACCATCTTCTGCCAGGCAGGCAAGAGATGAGGATTGCTAGCAGTCGTATTGCACCATCTTCTGCCAGGCAGGCAAGAGATGGGGATGGCTAGCAGTCGTACTGTACCATCTTCTGCCGAGCAGCCATGAGATGTGGATGGCATGCAGTCCTTCTGCACCGTCTGCTGCCAGCCAAAGATGTAAAAGATAGATGGAGTGGGTCAAAACAAGAAATAGACCAGATTTGTTTTGTACTCATTTGCCTCCTCCCCTGTCTAGGGGACTCATTCCTCTAGGTCACACTGCAGTCACTCACAGAGAAGGTGCAGCGAGGTAAATCTAGCCATGTATCAATCAGAGGCCAGGCTAACCTCCTTGTTCCAATAACAACGATAACCTAGGTGCACCATTTCTTATTGGAACCCTCCGTGCAGTCCTGCCTGAAATACTCCTTGATGTACAGGCACCCCCTTTGTTGATTTTAGCTCCCTGAAGCCAACCCTGTAAGCCGTGTCGTCAGTCGCCCCTCCCTCCGTCAGAGCAACGGCAGACAATCGTTCCGCGCCTTTTTTCTGTGCGGACGCCATACCAAGGCAAGCATGGAGGCCGCTCAGCTCACTTTGGCAATTAGGAGCACATTAAACACCACACGCATTATCCAGCAGTATATGCAGCACCAGAACATGGCAACGCGATACCGGGCGAGGAGGCGACGTCAGCGCGGTCCCATGAGTGATCAGGACATGGACACAGATTTCTCTGAAAGCATGGGCCCTGACAATGCATGCATCATGGTGCTAATGGGGCAGGTTCATGTGGTGGAACGCCGATTCTGGGCTCGGGAAACAAGCACAGACTGGTGGGACCGCATAGTGTTGCAGGTCTGGGACGATTCCCAGTGGCTACGAAACTTTCGCATGCGTAAGGGCACTTTCATGGAACTTTGTGACTTGCTTTCCCCTGCCCTGAAGCGCATGAATACCAAGATGAGAGCAGCCCTCACAGTTGAGAAGCGAGTGGCGATAGCCCTGTGGAAGCTTGCAACGCCAGACAGCTACCGGTCAGTTGGGAATCAATTTGGAGTGGGCAAATCTACTGTGGGGGCTGCTGTGATGCAAGTAGCCCACGCAATCAAAGATCTGCTGATATCAAGGGTAGTGACCCTGGGAAATGTGCAGGTCATAGTGGATGGCTTTGCTGCAATGGGATTCCCTAACTGTGGTGGGGCTATAGATGGAACCCATATCCCTATCTTGGCACCGGAGCACCAAGCCGCCGAGTACATAAACCGCAAGGGGTACTTTTCGATAGTGCTGCAAGCTCTGGTGGATCACAAGGGACGTTTCACCAACATCAACGTGGGATGGCCGGGAAAGGTGCATGATGCTCGCATCTTCAGGAACTCTGGTCTGTTTCAAAAGCTGCAGGAAGGGACTTTATTCCCAGACCAGAAAATAACTGTTGGGGATGTTGAAATGCCTATATGTATCCTTGGGGACCCAGCCTACCCCTTAATGCCATGGCTCATGAAGCCATACACAGGCAGCCTGGACAGTGGTCAGGAGCTGTTCAACTACAGGCTGAGCAAGTGCAGAATGGTGGTAGAATGTGCATTTGGACGTTTAAAGGCGCGCTGGCGCAGTTTACTGACTCGCTTAGACCTCAGCGAAACCAATATTCCCACTGTTATTACTGCTTGCTGTGTGCTCCACAATATCTGTGAGAGTAAGGGGGAGACGTTTATGGCGGGGTGGGAGGTTGAGGCAAATCGCCTGGCTGCTGGTTACGCGCAGCCAGACACCAGGGCTGTTAGAAGAGCACAGGAGGGCGCGGTACGCATCAGAGAAGCTTTGAAAACCAGTTTCATGACTGGCCAGGCTACGGTGTGAAAGTTCTGTTTGTTTCTCCTTGATGAACCCCCCCGCCCCTTGGTTCACTCTACTTCCCTGTAAGCTAACCACCCTCCCCTCCTCCCTTTAATCATTGCTTGCAGAGCCAATAAAGTCATTGTTGCTTCACATTCATGCATTCTTTATTAATTCATCACACAAATAGGGGGATGACTACCAAGGTATCCCAGGAGGGGTGGTGGAGGAGGGAAGGAAAATGCCACACAGCACTTTAAGCACAGCACTTTAAAAGTTTACAACTTTAAAATTTATTGAATGACAGCCTTCTTTTTTTTGGGCAATCCTCTGTGGTGGAGTGGCTGGTTGGCCGGAGGCCCCCCCACCGCGTTCTTGGGCGTCTGGGTGTGGAGGCTATGGAACTTGGGGAGGAGGGCGGTTGGTTACACAGGGGCTGTAGTGGCAGTCTGTGCTCCAGCTGCCTTTGCTGCAGCTCAACCATACACTGGAGCATACTGGTTTGGTCCTGCAGCAGCCTCAGCATTGAATCCTGCCTCCTCTCATCACGCTGCCGCCACATTTGAGCTTCAGCCCTGTCTTCAGCCCGCCACTTACTCTCTTCAGCCCTCCACCTCTCCTCCCGGTCATTTTGTGCTTTCCTGCACTCTGACATTATTTGCCTCCACGCATTCATCTGTGCTCTGTCAGTGTGGGAGGACAGCATGAGCTCGGAGAACATTTCATCGCGAGTGCGTTTTTTTTTTCTTTCTAAGCTTCACTAGCCTCTGGGAAGGAGAAGATCCTGTGATCATTGAAACACATGCAGCTGGTGGAGAAAAAAAAAGGGACAGCGGTATTTAAAAAGACACATTTTATAAAACAGTCACTACACTCTTTCAGGGTAAACCTTGCTGTTAACATTACATACATAGCACATGTGCTTTCGTTACAAGGTCGCATTTTGCCTCCTCCCACCACGTGAACGGATTTTGGTTGAATGCCAGCAAACATACACTGCAATGCTTTGTTCTACAGTGATTCCCGAGTACGTGTTACTGGCCTGGAGTGGTAAAGTGTCCTACCATGAAGGACGAAATAAGGCTGCCCTCCCCAGAAACCTTTTGCAAAGGCAGAACCGCAAATGCCAGGGCAAAGTAATCCTTTCACATGCTTGCTTTTAAACCATGTATAGCATTTTAAAAGGTACACTCACCAGAGGTCCCTTCTCCGCCTGCTGAGTCCAGGAGGCAGCCTTGGGTGGGTTCGGGGGTACTGGCTCCAGGTCTAGGGTGAGAAACAGTTCCTGGCTGTCGGGAAAACCGGTTTCTCCACTTGCTTGCTGTGAGCTATCTACAACCTCCTCATCATCATCTTCTTCGTCCCCAAAACCTACTTCCGTATTGCCTCCATCTCCATTGAAGGAGTCAAACAACACGGCTGGGGTAGTGGTGGCTGAACCCCCTAAAATGGCATGCAGCTCATCATAGAAGCGGCATGTTTGGGGCTCTGACCCAGAGCGGCTGTTCGCCTCTCTGGTTTTCTGGTAGGCTTGCCTCAGCTCCTTCAGTTTCACGCGGCACTGCTTCGGGTCCCTGTTATGGCCTCTGTCCTTCATGCCCTGGGAGATTTTGACAAAGGTTTTGGCATTTCGAAAACTGGAACGGAGTTCTGATAGCACGGATTCCTCTCCCCAAACAGCGATCAGATCCCGTACCTCCCGTTCGGTCCATGCTGGAGCTCTTTTGCGATTCTGGGACTCCATCATGGTCACCTGTGCTGATGAGCTCTGCATGGTCACCTGCAGCTTGCCACGCTGGCCAAACAGGAAATGAGATTCAAAAGTTCGCGGTTCTTTTCCTGTCTACCTGGCCAGTGCATCTGAGTTGAGAGCGCTGTCCAGAGCGGTCATAATGGAGCACTCTGGGATAGCTCCCGGAGGCCAATACCATTGAATTGTGTCCACAGTACCCCAAATTCGAGCCGGCAAGGTCGACTTAAGCGCTAATCCACTTGTCAGGGGTGGAGTAAGGAAATCGATTTTAAGAGCCCTTTAAGTCGAAATAAAGGGCTTCATTGTGTGGACGGGTGCAGGTTTAAATCGATTTAACGCTGCTAAATTCGACCTAAAGTCCTAGTGTAGACCAGGGCTAATATTCTGCCCCCAAAAGGCAAAACTTTAAAGGTTTTGATTGTTTTGCATAATCACTCAATTTCAGTTTCAGTATAAATGCTTGTTTTAATCTCTTGTTCTTTTTTGTGTTTTATCAATGAACTTTCAAGTTTAAAATTAATGCTTTTGGGCATTTGTCATAGAATCAAGTAGAACCAGGGTCTCAGTAGAAACATAACCCAAAGCAAAGAATATTGGAGAGTTTATAAACACCTTTAACTCTTTGACAATACATTAGATCTGATATACATTTGGTTGTCCATCATCAACCCTTGTCCTGTTCACAGTCCCTGCTTTCTAGGATACAATTCCCCATCCTGTAAGTATGACCTACATTCTTTATTCCTAGAAGTATGACTAAATTTGGCACATTAAAACTGTTTGTTTGACCCCATTGTTTGTTTGAGCCCATTTTACCACATTGTTTCAGCCCATTTTACCAAGTAATCCAGATCATCCTTTTTAAGTGACTTGTCCATATCACTATTCACCACTCTACCAGTCCTCAGGTCATCTGAAAACCCTATATGAAATTATTTTACATTCTCTTTTAGATCATGCATAAAGATATTAAATAGCATTGTGCCAAGCATCCATTCTTGCAGAATCCCATTAGAAACATCTATTCAAAAATGATTCCCCATTAACAATTACATTTTGAGATGTCATTTTAAATCCATGTTACACTGATTTTGTAGTATGCTAATTTTTTATTCCAAATGTTGTGTGGTACAATTTTGCCAGGGATCAAAGTCAAGCTAACAGACCTATAATTTTTAAAATATCGACACAACTTTATTTTTCTTCCAGTCCCCTGGAACTCCTCCAGTGTTTTAAGATTTGTTGAAAAATGACCTCAATGATCAAGAGAGCTCTTTAGCCAACTCTTTAAAAACTTTTGGGTAAAAATGATCTGGAACAACTGATTTAAATGGTTTAACTTTAGTAGATGATGTTTAACATTCTCCCTAGTTATCGCTGTAATGGAAAGTATTTCATCATCATTGTGGTCTCTGAATAAGTCATCTGGCTTCTTTCCAAATACAGAACAGAAATATTTATTGAATACTTCTGCCGTGTCTACATCATTATGATAACTTTATCATCTCCATCCAGTGATGGATCTATAACCATTGATAGGGTTCTTCTCATTTCTGATGTTAAAAAAACATTCTTATTGTTCTTAAACCCTACCAGTGATGGATTTTTCATTAATATATTTAGCATTCCTTATCAATTATTTGCATTTTAACTACTAATTTATCGTCACTGCTATCCACTTCCCCTTTATTCTATTTGTTAATATTCTCTCTATATTTTATTGCATTAAGAAAATTTAAACCAATAACTTAGGCTGGAGGAAGCAACAATTTGGGAAGGAAGGCCCTGGTCTGGGAGTCAGGAGATCTGGGTTCAATTCCAGACTTGCTGTGTGGTGTTGGGCAAGTCACAATCTGATCCCTTACCAAGTTCCTTGTCTGTAAATTGGGGATAATCTTTCCCTACCTCATACAAGTGTACAATGATAAAACCCAATAATGATTGTGTGGTGCTCTGAAACCACATAGACCCAATGACTAGAGTTGGTTGGAAATTTTCCAACATAATATTTTTCTGTGAGAAAATGTCATTTTGTTGAAACTGAAACATTGCACCTAAATTTCAATTTTAACAAAATTCTGACGGAACCCTGCCTGGTTTCTTGCCAGCTTGTCTTCTGAGCTACTAGGCAGCTCATTCTCCTGGAACCATTCTGCTCATAGTTCTGAGATTTGTTGTTTTTGTTCTTCTACAGAATGAATTTTTTTTTTTCAAAATCTCACAATTTGTCACAGAATGGAAAATCCCATTACCACTCAGCTCTACTAATGACTTCGAGAGGTCAGTGGTATAGAGCGCACTAAAAACATTTTGAGTTTCAGAATTATATTTCAACTGTGATTTTCCACTACTATTAATTAGAGCTCCTGTATACAGTCATCACCATTAATCAGAATATATCCTGGGACCATGAAAAGAGCTCTTTTTCTTGGAAGTCCAGTATCAGTCTGTATGGTGAGATGCACACTGTATTGCAATTTTAATTTTTTCCCTTCTCTTTCCATATGTTCTGGCTGAGATATCTTGAAAGTCCCAGGTTAGCTAAGTTTCAGGCTCAATGACAGGCTTTAATCTACCCTTCCTGAAGCTGTTGATGATAATGATTGAAACTGAAAAAAATAAACTAAAAATGAACATCTGATTTTCAAATTAGGAAAACTACCACTGAAGAATCGAAGATGAGACGGGTCCCTTAGAGAGGTGTATTTATTACCAGAGTGGTCATTCAGCAGGTGCTCTTATACTTGGGGCTAGTTGTTATTAGTATTCTTACACTTGCTTTTTAATTTAGTTTCTGTTACATTGCTTACCTCATGTTGCATGTGTCAGTTTTATTCCTCCTGTAGACTTCCAAAATTGCTTTCATAATAATCTAGTTTTCCAGGATTACTGCCACCAGACTACATTTTTCCTCCTTATTATCTTTTAAGAACCTTGGCTAAATCCCATCTGGGCCTCAGAATGTATTGGTTTTCAAGCATTGTAGCTCATTTATCACCTCTGTCTTACTGACCCTGAAATCATCCAAGATAGTGAGTGCACAGCCAATTTAGATGAGATTTTGTTAGTGTTTCTGTCTCCAGTTACTGTATTCAAAAACCGTGAATAACTGTCCTGGAAATGTAAACTTGTTAAGGAGGGGAGACATTCATTCACGTTGGAGAATTCAAAATCTTCAGCATTCCTAAGGTTAAAGCTGTCTATGGGAGGCTATGTTTTTGAGCTGCAGTGCCCAACAGCTGCAGTAAACTATCTGTTCTATTAAACTGGACACCAACATTGTCTAGTTTTAAAAAGCTTTTGATCTCTGATCTTGAGAAGCCTGGTCAGTGTAAAGAACTGAGATTTTGATTGCTCAGTGACGTCTGCTATTTTAGACTGAGTGCCCTGCATTATATTGACTGTCTCATTCCTAAAAAGAAAAGGAGTACTTGTGGCACCTTAGAGACTAACCAATTTATTTGAGCATGAGCTTTCGTGAGCTACAGCTACATTTGATGAAGTGAGCTGTAGCTCACGAAAGCTCATGCTCAAATAAATTGGTTAGTCTCTAAGGTGCCACAAGTACTCCTTTTCTTTTTGCGAATACAGACTAACACGGCTGTTACTCAGAAACCTGTCTCATTCCTGTTTCCCAAGATCCAAAAATGTTTCTCTTGAGACTCTCTCAGTGAGCCAAAGTTTTAAATAAGTAAAATACAGGGAGTCAATTCTGTAGGATTGCATTTTCTCAAGTGTTGGAGAAAGAATTGTCTTATGGCCCAATCTAGCAAAGTGCTGAACGTCTTCAACTCCTACTAAAGCTGAAGGCGCTAAAGGAGCTCAACACCTTACAGCTCTGAGCTGTAAGTAGTGAGGAGTGACAATCATACACCAGCATTAACAGCTATAAATCTACATTTTAAGCAGTTTCAAAATTGAAGAATATTTATATATTAGGGGATGCTAAACTTAGCCTACATTATAGATTTACTTTATCACACAGAGTAGCATTTGTTTGTTTTTTAAACGTAGTGCTGGTGTATGTTCCAAATCGACAGCTCTGGAGACCACAGTCCTCCATTTAGCCACAGCAATTTCAAGACCAGTTCAAGTTTCCTCATACTACCCTATTATTGTGACTCAGGCAGCCTTCACCTGAAGGTACCATTTCTCATGGTGAGAAAGTAATTCAGTTCCATGCAGAGAATCAAAGATTAACAATAGAAAGAGGATGATTAGGTCACCAAGTCCATTCCTCTGGCAAAGCAGGATTACTCCTTACTAAATATTTTCTTGTACTTTGTTGAGTCTGGTTTTAATGTCTTCAGTGTTTCTGTTTTGAGTGTTTCTACTGAGACTGCAAACAAGGTTGTCAGTTAATGGCAGTTCTAATAAAGGGTGTTTTCTGTGATGTGGACACCACACTAGAATGAACTACACCAGGGAGGCAACATGGTCTGATGGCTGAAGAAGTGAACAGTGTGTCAGGAGATTAGGGGTCTATTCCAGATTCTGCCACAGACTCCTCCTGCGTGAATCGTGGATGTCACTTAACCAGCTTTCAGAGGAACAGCCGTGTTAGTCTGTATTCGCAAAAAGAAAAGGAGTACTTGTGGCACCTTAGAGACTAACCAATTTATTTGAGCATGAGCTTTCGTGAGCTACAGCTCACTTCATCAGATGCATACCATGGAAACTGCAGCAGACTTTATATATACACAGAGAATATGAAACAATACCTCCTCCCACCCCACTGTCCTGCTGCATAAGCTTTTGTGATGCATCCGATGAAGTGAGCTGTAGCTCACGAAAGCTTATGCTCAAATAAATTTGTTAGTCTCTAAGGTGCCACAAGTACTCCTTTTTCTTTTTGTGAATACAGACTAACACGGCTGCTACCCTGAAACCTTTCTCAAATGAGAATCTGATATCATAAACATGCTGAAGTAATTGTTATTGTCACACTGCGGCTATGCATTTAGTGGGTATTAGCCATACTTAAATGAGAAGAATCTCACAGTGTGGCAATCTGAGCTTCTAAGTCTGCACTTCATTATACCACATTTATGCCTGTGAAACTCTGCTAATGGAGTTCATTCTGGTGGAAATGAAGTGAGCTGTAGCTCACGAAAGCTTATGCCCAAATAAATTGGTTAGTCTCTAAGGTGCCACTAGTACTCCTTTTCTTTTTGCGAATACAGACTAACACAGCTGTTACTCTGAAACCTGTAACAGAATGGAGACTCAACCCCT